AAAAATGTGATTTTTTTCACTTTTTTATATATTATATTTAGTAAATTTCTATAGATTTGCAAAAAAAAAGTTTTTGCCAAAAAGTTAATGCCCCCAAACCGCCCTTTTAATCGACAACCGCCCTCTGTGTAATCGTTATGAAAATAAATGTAAGTAAAAGGGACCGACAGTCAGTGAGAATACGCGAGGAGCTGTACCCCAGGTCCGACAGTCAGTGAGAATATGCGAGGAGCTGTACCCCGGGACAGACAGTCAGTGAGAGTACGCGAAGAGCTCTACCCCGGGACAAGTGAATAGTCAGTGAGAACGCGAGAGACGCAATAGGACAGTCCCTGCAAGTGGAGAACTGGGCACGGTCAGAAGGATCAGTGGAGTTAGTGGTCGGCAAAGGTGGTCCGGGGAAGAGCGTCAGCTTGACCTACTGGCGAAACACCTCCGCACCATAACATCCTAAGCCGTAAGCCAAAGCACGGGACCGCTGTCAAGGACGCCGCAGGACCACGAAGGATATCAGGATGTACTCAGGAACCTGGCACTATCAGAAGGGACTGTGGAGTCATTGGTCCGGTGGTCCGGGGAAGAGCGTCAGATTGACCAAACGGGCGATACACCTCCCCACCATAACATCCTAAGCCCCATTCGAGCAGGCACGGGTAAGCGGTCAAGATCAAGGGAAGGACGACGAAGGGGCGACGCCGCGCATCCGACGGCGAGGATTGTAAGAGTCTATCGTTGAATAAGTCTGCAAATAAAGCTGTTCGAACCTAAAACTCTGTCTTCTCTTTGGTCGGGCAATCACACAAATCATAATTTTGGTGGGACGAACAAGCAAACTCTCTGAGATAGGCGTTGCAATTCGTAGCGAGCAGAACCAAGAAAAACAGTTCGTTACAAGCTTTCGCTGCGCATTTGTCTCTGGAACCTGCATGCCCTATCTCAACTTTATAGCTTTTATTGTTCATGAGATCTCGACGTTCATACGAATGGGCAGACGGACATGGCCGAATCGAGCCAAATACGAGTAACGGGTATAAAGAGTTATGAGATGTGGAAAAAAATGATGAACAATGAAGTTTTTCTTGAATTAACAAAAGGTCATTTTATAGCCAGGAAGGACGTGTCGAAAAATTATTTTGAACTAATAGATTTAAATATTATTTGTGTAATCGTTTTGAAAATAAATGATCAAAGGAAATGAGAAAGAGAGAGACCTTCTGAACGCGGTCGGGAGGGAGACCAAAATCCCTGCCGACCGTGGCGAAATGCCAGGTAGAGAAGAAAGAGTTGAAAATAGTATGACAGTTCGAGTTGGCCTTCCGTAGAGAGCAGAAGAACTAAGGACTAAGGCAATGTCCGACGAACCTGGCCATCAATCTTCATTATATATCCTAATAGATAAATAGAACTATAAATAGAATAAATATTCTGTTCCACTCTACAAGTAACGAGAGTAAAATATATATATATATATATATATCTTAATACATATATGTATATAGATATGGCTTTACTAATTGGCTTAAAAATTGTACAGCTTGTCCTACATGTCGCGATATTTGTACTAAAGAATAACTTCTTAGTGGGAATGTCGTATTGAAAACTAAAATAAACTACGCTGAACTTGAAGCTATTACAGCTGTAGGTAATCCACCACTAGAATCATGTGATGTAGTAGAAAAAGACTTTCGATAGATCCTTATATAGACAAATGTAGAGGTCGAGACAACAGATCAGGTGTAGTCACCACCCTGTATCTACCCTGCTGGAACCCAACAAAAGACTCTGTTGGATAATCTGACAGATCTTATTAACATATCCTTAAATATACATTTTAATATTTTAGGCATGAGATCTTGTAACAGGGATGTAAAGCGCATACTACACACACTGATCAGGGCAATACCCCAGAGCACGAGACTGACTTACGAAATATTAGTCGTATCAGTCGTTTGACATGTAATACACAACTGGAAAATTAAGTTTGATTGTAGAAGTAGTTTGTATTTTGATTGTAGTAAGTTTGGTAAACAATTTTCGACTTGTAAAGAATCATTTCCACTGGTTTGGCAGTTTAATCGTAAATATGAGGAATTCACTTGGGAAACTTTTTGTTTTGCATTTAGAGACAATTGCAAGATGTGGACATTGACGTTGATGTGTGGAAACGTATCGCAAATCGCAAGCAGGGGGAAAGCCAAACAGTCGATTCCTACCAAGTGTAAGAGTAAGTACAAATCAGAACACTGCTTCAGACAGATTTAGTCAACATTTTTATTTATAATTCAAAAAGTTCTCTGCGACATGAATTACTGCATCTTAATAAGTTACCATTTTGCATATTCTGAAATTTGCACAAAGATCATTCAGCTCTCATGCACAACAAATTAACTTATTGGAACTGTGAAATTTGTGATTTTTTATGGAATGTTAATAGAATGTTTAGAATTTTTAGGGTTGAAAAACTCGACAAATTTTTGGGTACCACAATCAATTTTGACGGATTATCGGTCTAAACTGATGGGATCGAAGATTGAATAAAAGGAGCTTTCGATCTATTCGAAACGCTAAACGCCTAGAGAGTCAACAAGGCTGTGGCAGGAACGTTGAGATCCACACGGTAAGGATACTGTAGGGAGAGGGCAATGACCTGGCATAGTCAGAAAGGGATTGTGAAATCATTGGTTAGTGTCCTGTACCCGGAGCGGTCATAACAGACGTGCGCTTCCGGATGTTTAAGAGCTTTGGATTGACACACCTTGCGACCCCTCCACTATATCATCCGAGGTCTCTTATGATCCGGTACGGGTTCCGTTGTCGAGGACGATGAGAAAGGACGTTTAGGGAACGACGCCATACCGAGTTTTCCTTTAATAAAGCTGACCTAAATCTGAAACCCTGTCCTCTTCTTGGCTGGCCAATCTCACAAATCATAAATTTGGTGGGAGCCATCTGGGACCCAACCGTGATTGTCCTGGCCAAGAGACCAGAGATTAGATAAGGAAGTTGTGGCTATACAGATTGAACAAAATAGAATGCTATAGTCGAGTTCCCCGACTATCAGCCCGTTTTCCAGCTCTGGAAGTGCGAAGGAGAAATTTCTTAATTTTCTGCAATATCGGTAGAAATTGGGTAAAAGAAGAACAAAAAAATGAAAAAAACATTTTCCAAATGTGTGGGCGAGACAGTTTTGGTCGGTTTTTTGGCGGTAGAGTGGGCATAAAACATAAAAAAAAAAACAGACAAGGAACAATACGGTCATTCTAATATGGGCTCAGCGGCACAAAGAGCAAGACGAGCGCCGACTCTTTTTCCAGCGGAACAATGCATTCTCTGTCTGACTCCCACGAGCGCCAAGCCATTCACCCAGTCACTCACCTTACACGAACAGAAAGGAAGCGATCGCGGTCTGGCTCATTGCAAAACGTCGGTAAGCTCTGTAGCTACCTGTACAGTAAATTCGATATCTTCTGCAACTGTACCTACGTGTATTTTGTTGTTGTCAACTTGTTCTTTGCAAGTGCAATGAAATCAGGTATCCAAGCGCCAACTGCTGACTCTCGAGAACATTCAGCTGACAATCGGCATTGCAGCGATTTTCCTTTTGATGCAGCAAAGTATGTAAGACTTCATGACCTTCAAGCTAATTACAATGCAAGAGCTTATGATGCTTATGACAAGCAATAGACCAAACTGGGAGAGTTACACATAATATGTTTTTCCCCAAGCTGATTTTCTAGCCACTTGGCAAGACATTAATCCGTGTGTTCTAGAATCAACAATAATTGCTCGCAATTAATCGCCCACGTTTCAAAGTATACCAGGACCAGCAGAGATATTGAACTGCTTGTGCGTAAAAGACGACGATTTCGAAGGGAATGGCAGGAGCACAGATAACCTGGCGCAAAGAGTAGACCAAAGGCAGCTCCACGCAGTCATACTAAAGCGCTAAAGAAGAAGTAGATGCAGAACTATAGTACATCGAGAAACTTACGCTCTCCAGCACAAAGAACTCAAGGAACTCATAGAACCATCAGAAACTGTTGTACCCCTGCGTAACTCAAACGGAAATTCACACTACACCATACAATGTCCGCCCAACAGACTACCAGCCAAAAATATCCACGTTCGCTGACGACCCCGCAATACTGAGTCGATCCAGATGACCAGCAAAAGCTACGATACAACTAGCCCGCCATTTTACATTCGTAGAGCAAAGGCTTGCAAATTTGAGCCTACGAGTATATGTATGAATTTATATATTTACTTAAATAAACAAAGTTGCCCGCCTTTGTTTTGAACAACCGCGCATCCCACAAGCTGATAAAAAAAACATACTTAGGTATTAGGTATTAGAAAAAGCGGCGTAAACACATAGAGGCCGAAACGACGCACTTTAGACTTATAGCTAGGGATCTACAATGACATTTAAACGTTCGCTCTCTCCTAAGCCTGGAGTACAAAATCTTTTTCTAGACCTCCGTTCCAAACCTATATGGGCCAATGAAGAAGCAACATCGACAAAGTACAGAGAGCTACCACCTTCAAAACAAAAAATTACACAGCCATGCAAATAAAACTTGTTATCGGGACAAAGCCAAAGCCGACTGCACCACAACGACCAACCAGCCCAGCGTTAAACTTTTTAGGCCACATAGCACAAATTATTTCATAAAAATAATAATAAAAATTTCATAAATACTCATATGAGTTACTAAAAATACATACATATTGTATATGAATATAAACTAATTTTTATTTTATACGGACTACATGAGGGTTGAAAACTTTTTTATGAGTATATATTATTTGTGGGATCAGGTTCGCCAAGATCCATCTATGAATAATAATATAGTGAATAATAATATAAGGGGATAACATATATTGAAAAGCATGACTACGTAAAATAAGGAGCCATTTTGTACAAATTCTGGAACACCCTTAAATGTCAAAAACAAACATGTGCTATTGGGAACCCGCTATTATTCATTGATGCTTTAAATATGAACAGGGTATTTCGTTTGTGAGAATATCGGACTAGGCATTTTTGTAAACCTAACAATATATTACATACACCAATAAATAACAAGATAAGTAAAACAACGAACTATTTTTTTGCCTTTTTAAAAACGAATTTCGAGCGGAGGATGAGCTTTGCTTCAAAATTGGGTTTTTCAATCGGGTGTTTACACCGTACGAATTTGGCTCGTAACATAATTCAAAGGAAAAGCCATGTGTAAGTGCAGAAACCTTTCCAATTATATTTCATTTTAAACTTACATAAGTTTTTTAGAGTATCTTACCGTAATGGTCCCCCTCCCCATTCAAAGGCAACTAAAATTGGTGCTTTAACTGTTGGTGGAGCTATGTGGTGGTGGGTAATCTGGCACTTATGGCATGAACCTGACCACATAACGGTAAGATCCTCAGTTCTTATGAAACATTCTATTAAAAACATTGTTTACAGGGGGAATTCGAATATCCCAACTCAAAGAAATGGAGCAACGCAGAGTTGGGTATTCCAAAGGATGGCTTTTAAATATTTTATGTTAAAGCTTATCCCATAAATATTGATTAAAATGCGATATTTAGCCATGTAGTTACATTATTCTGAGCGGACTTATGTGTTGCGTAATGCTGTTTAATATTCCAACAATCAGTTTTTTCACCCAATCACAATATGCATATGTATGTTCATATGTATTATGACTATAAGGAGCCCAAACTGAATTGAACTAAAAGTGCAATACGATTTGCGTGCATTTTCTAACATTGAGTAAAAAAAATGTTGATTGTTTTAGATTTTCCTGAAGCTAATTTTACCTTTCCTGCAGTTAGTTCTTGCAGATATTTTATAAAATTTAGATTTGTTCCCAACTGCTACCTTCTATGAGTGAGTGCCAGAAGCACTTAATTTTACTGTAGCCGGCGCCTTTGAACATTAGTAATTGTAAAAATGTAATGAAAACAATTAAGACAAGAAGCTACGAATTATTGTTCCTCATTCTGTTTTCCAATTTTAGGCGGTGTAGTTCCATTTCTGTTAAGATATAAGAAGCTTTGTGGAAGCCAGCTATAACCCCCACTGGACTTACATATTTCAAAAACTCGTTATTTCTCAATGATATGTTTACATTTACATCTTTAAAAAAGCTAGAAAGTTAAGATAAGTATGAGACTTGGGCGCAGCACCATTTTGATTCGGAAGATTGTCACGCTCTCAAATCGCCTAAAACCGTTACGCCAACCCTTGCAAATTTGTTTTGTTGTTTTCTCCGATTTCCATCGATACGCCAAAAAGATTTTGACAACGCCCCCGTAATGCTCACAAACCTCAAAAAGATGTCTCGCCCACAATTTTCAAAACAGATCAAACTTGTGCTGAAGTATGTACCTGAATCGGTGTCCTCGTCTCTAATGTCCTGCGTCGCTCGCTGGCCTGCGAAAAGCACTATCAAACTCACCCATTCAACGCCGGGTTCTAATATCGGTAAACGTTGTAGCACGGCGGCCGTGGTCTGCCTCATCGATGAGATCGCATCTTAAGCATCGCGATCAAATGGATTGAGAGCAAGAGAAAAACGAGCTCCTTGTTCACCAGCAAACAGCGTTTTTGAGCACAAACGACTACAAAAATGGCGTGCTATGTGTCTACATTTACCAATTACAGATAAATCTTATTGGGGTATTTGAACTTGCTTCACCGAGGACCACGTCACATTGTTATTACCTTGCAAAATGTCTCTCCAAAGATCTCCAAGATCAAAACCACAAATGAGCAGAGCAATCCCAGAGCTTCCGAAGATCCAGCAGTGGCTATCAGTCTTATCGCAAGTGCGCAACACACTCCAAGAACAGTGTTGCAGAAGAACCAAAAATTTGAATGTATTATTTGCTCTATTATTTAGTGGAGCTGATATCAAGCAAAAGAACAAAAGAGAAGAATTCAGCATTAGCCGATCAGAACAAACTTCGCTAGTGAAGTGCACTTTCCGTATTATGGGAACATTTGTAAGGCTCGGACTATTGAGTAAACAATTGAAATGAATATTCAGTAACTTAGTGTAACGCAATTATTGGAGCTCTGCTTCTGAAGCTGTGAATCCTGTGCCGATCTTGGAAAGACAAAAGGTCCAATAATGTGACCTGCTGCCTTTCTGGCTCTGGTTCAAGCTGCATACAGCGTAGATTTTTACATTTGAACCCACTTACTACTTTACTACTTTTTGTGATCGAAAGAAAAATTGGAGTTGCTTTTGGATTTAATGTCATTGGAGGGTATGGAATGATAAATAAACGTGCTTATACTTTTGGAATTCAAGATACGGAGCTAAATTTGATTTGCCACATCCACAGTTTCAATCTGATCAAAGAAGGCTGTTACACTAGACAGAGACACTCCCATGGTTTTTCATTACTTTTAAAACTTCTCTACATCGGTAAAACAAATATGGGTCTGCTCTTAACAGGCGCGCCTTTTCCCTAACGCTCCGCTTACGTAACCATGTTGAACCTATGGTTGTGTAACTTTCTAAAGATCTAAAGCATTTTAATGCCAGTATATATGCTAGGAAATGCCAGTTATTCATAATCAACCTCCAGAACTACGTCAGGAGGCTTTGGTCAATCACTTGGAGCAATTGTAATTATCTTTATTCCTACGTTGTGTGCCTAGTTATTCTCATGCAAAGGATTTACACAGTTCTTGGGCTTTTACATTCTCATTCTGGCTAGTTGTCTAAGTTGTACTAAAGTTATACCAGGTTGAGATGCTAAGGATGGATTAGTATAGGATGTTAAATCACTAGGTGCTTTCTATAAAGCTCAGTATTAAAGAAGAAAGCCAATATATTGCTTACTGAAATATGGACACAAACAACTACCCCTTTGATAGCACTCTCACGCTCATGACCTACTGACTTAATTATCATAAATGGAAAACGATTTGAAATCAGTCGTTCCTTCTGAGCCGTTTGAAATTGGCCCTTTGGGCTTTCGGTCGGCTTTTATGTTTCTGTGACCAGTTTAGCAAAACTTAAAAAGATTAGTGAAAACAAGATGGCTTGCATTTTGGTATTTACTTATAAATCTTTAAAAAGACGTACACTATTAAAATTATATACACGTAAGTCGTATGCGTATATTGATATAATATAAAATCCCTTCTTTAAAAGACTTATTTTTTATATTTATATAAAACAAGGGAGAATGATATTCTTCTTCTTTTTGTTCTGATTATCAGATACCCGAAGTGTACCGGAAGTGAGAACGAGAAATTTCAACATACACTAAACAGTGTTTGTTAGGCAAAGGTCGAAGCGTAATATTTACGCACCCTTAAAAAAGCGGATGCATTCCTAAGGCTAAATGACATGCGTAATGACCGCTTTTGGTAGAAAATTAAGTTTTAGATATTGATTCTGGGGATTTTATTTGATTGAATCCCTTTGAAAAATCGATAGTTGTAAAATATTGACATTTTCTTAATTTATCAAGGATTTCGTCCATATTTGGTATTGGATATCTGTCTGGAATAGTTATTTCATTGAGTTTTCTATAATCAATTACTACTCTATACTTAATATTACCAGAATCAGTTTGTTTTGGTACTACCAGGTTGAATTCCCTTTATTGTATGGTGAATTACTTTCCCTAATTAATTCCCTGTACTTGGGTTTCGACTTTAATTTCGTGCGTTTGAGCCACTGGCTACTTAATAAATTGTGGAGTAATGTATTTAGTACCTGTTTAATGGTATTTGTAAATCTTAGTTTGCCTCCTTTATATAGCAGATTTTTAATTTTATTTGGTGAACCTTTCAACTTTAAAGTTTGCTGACCTGAATTTTTAATTGTTGTTTTTTTTTTTTTTTTGTATAAACAAGTTTTTTTTTTTATTCAGAAATAATTAAGATGTATGTAAATGTGCAATTTTTGTAATTTATAAATGATTGTGCATTTTTAAACAATTTTCTGCCAATTAGCATATCGTAATTATTCGAAGAATTGTGTACATAAAATGGTTCATTTGTTTTAAAAATACTATGGCAATTGAATGTGCAACCCATTGTATGCTACGCCCTGGGGAAAACCTGAGCTAGCGGCACTGCCATAAGTAAGGAAAACAGTGTCGCCCAAATTTAAAAACAAAATTAATTGTCGAGGCGACGGCGTCTCGCCATTTATGGCCCTGGTGTCATCACAAATGGTGGCCTGCAGGCCGAACTGCAACTGCACCAGAAATATTGATGGAGTAGTCAAACTGTTGAGTAGGGTGATAGGCAGGACGGGAGGCTATTCAGCAAGAATAGCTCAAATTTTTCTCCTGGCCACAGGCTTATGATCCGATGGTGTCATCCTTTTAGGCGACGATAGGGTTTGCATCACGGCGAGCAATACAAAAAAAAATCTGCGATAATCCTGTGGTAGCGTAAATCAATAAGCTTGTTCGGTCTGGGAGTCTTTTTAATTTTTCTTAAATGTATATATATATATTTTTTTTTTAACGCGCGAGTCTCACGGCCATACCTCCCGGCCAACCGACCGCGGGGCTCTGCCGCGTATCGTACGGCTCAATTCGCAAGAAGATAGACGCGATATAGAAAATAATAAAGGAACGAGGAAATATGTATAGTAAAACTAAATTATGTGTTAAAAAGTTAGTATTGATCGCTTTAAGAGCGGCACAGAGTCAGGATTAGAGATAATAGGATGAAGTCTATTATAGTCAGGACATAATACTCTGTACGAGTCATGTAACTTATAGTTAGATAACAATGATTTAAAATTAGGGGTAAGTAGTTTCTCGTGAATCAGCTTGGAACAGAGAAGTTCACCACGAATCAGATTACAAGTAAAGATTGCTCCAAGAATCGTTCTATGGTTAGCTAAAGAAGATAAGTTAATTAACATTAGTCTACTGGAATAGTTAGGTTTGCGTATGGTGGGCTCCAAACAAGTGATCTCAAGAATAGAACGAAATAAATAAAGTTTTAGAATAACAAGATCCGTAATAAGATGGCACAACCTGACCGTGCTCGAAAGGGATTGGAAGGGCGTTGCTCTCTGGAATGGATTCCGATACTCGAACGACATTCTGTTCACACCAGAACGAGGGTTCTGATGACCGGTTTGATTCCATCTTAATGGCCCCGGAAATGATAATAACCATTTCCGGGGCCATCTGGAATCCACCGTATCCCTAGTCTAGTGTAGGTCTACCATTTCTCTGATATGAGAAAATAAAACGAGGAGCGTACACCGGTCAGTAAAATCGGGTATTCGGAGCAAAATTGGCTGGTGGGGAAGACAGGGCAATGGAAAATTCAAGGGTTTTATCACCAGTCATCGTCGGGTACCCCATAAGAGTAAAGAGCCTCTTCGGCTTCGCCTCTTATCTTTCCTTCATATTAATTTAATTATACTTATACCATCGGATTACGGGCTTCGTTCTCGGTTTCTAAGGCGTTAATTCTATTATCAATTTTCTTCAATACATCCTGCCCGGTCATTTTGGCAAGGAGTGCGTTTAGAGTTTCCTTAATTTCTTCTATTTGCTTTGACACGGACAACGGAGGTTAATTAAATCAGTCAGGAATGCAAAAAGAAG